GAAATACTAAATATAATAGACGAGATAGGTACTTAAATGTATTATTTTTCTTGCACTATTAACACCTAACACATTGGAAGCTAAATCGATAATACAGCCATTAAAGTAGATAAGAAGTCTAAACCTAAATGTAAATTTTGAAAGACATAAAAATTTATGGCAAATTGTGTAATTATTTTCTGTCATAAGTTCCAAGGTTACATACCCCAAAGAGTTGATCTGCCGTCCTATGCCGTTTATAGTAGTGCTGTTATAACATATACGTAACGAATCGGGTAACACATTTTCTTTAATTATACGCACCAGTGTCAACTATAAAGGAATATTTTCTGTTATTACAATAAAATGATACAAATTGACCTTGTCCCTTACACGCCAAAATATAATGATTAAAATCGAAAAAACTGCTTTTAGTAAAATATTGAGAATTAATACTTTCATTAGAATTTTGAGCATCTACATCTTGGGGCTTGGGTGAATTGCGTTGAAAAAACTTTGTTACGCTTGTAATTATTTCCGCCTGTACTCTACCATTGCTATAATTCGCCTGCGAGAAATTTCTACCACGGTTAGAATTCTGAAATGACCTTCCGTAACCACGGCGGGTATTATTATTCGAAAATCCAAAATCACGGCCTCGTTGACCTTGACCCTTAGGACCTGAAGAAGGTGTAAGCTTACCTCGACCGCGTCTCGAATACTGCATCACGTTCCTGCTTAGAGGACGTAGAAGGCGTCGTTACGTCCTCATTCTTGGTACCTTGTATTGCGTCCTTGAGAGTACGACAAGTCACGAGCGGTTGAGCGACTTATTATATCAGTTTAATTAAACAATAGAATATAGTTTTTGTATTTTTAACGGTATTGTTATAAATACAAATACTATATTCTAAATATTAATTATTTCTTTTAGCATGAAAAATCGATTAATAAAAAATCGATTTTTAATGCAGAATGTCACATCCTTACACCGCATACACGAATTCAGAATGAATGACCAGTCACCACAAGTAGCACCCGTTCACGAGTATGACGCATGGCCAGCCATCGGCCCCCTCGCCATATTTTAGGGAGAGAGTCAACCCGACGCATGGACGCCGCCAGAAGCAATGACATTTAAGCGAGCATGACGATCCTTGAAATGTGAACTTGGCTAGACTGGTCAGTCATGCCACATTTTAGATATATTTTCGACCTGAGATTTAAACCTACAAAGAAATCAATCATTGGACTATTGGAGAATTTATAGACAGTTAACTGATCAGGACACGGCTAAAATTGTGTATCACAGCTACTTTCACAGCGTTATGTCGGTATTCTACTGTGGGGTGCTGCTTTGGTGGTATGAAAGTAGGAAACATCTTTATTGATAAAGTAAGCAACATTAGGAAAACATTCATATAAAAAAGTGTGTGCATGTAACCTTTAAGCGCGATTGAAGTAAAACTTCTTTGGCGTTGACGGCATATTATATCACTGAAATGATTAAATGTTAACTTAAATAATAAATATCATATTATAATTTAGTCAACTTTATAAGCAAACAAAATAATTGTCAATGTCATTTATAAGAAAATCAAAATCTTCTATATAATTTAATTATATTTATTATTCATGTGCTTTACAAAGATTGTTCAAATACGAAGGTGCACAGTTCAGCACATGTCAATATAACCTTGTTATTGAATATTAAAGAATGTCGCAATCGTCAGAAAATTTATTATTAATTTACTTATTTTAAAAGTAAGAAATCAATTAGTATATTTAGAGATTTTCAAAAACTATGCAATTAAAAATATTTTTTTTAAAACTGTTGAATTTTTTTTATTTACTTTGCTATTCTCTTATACAACTTTGTTATTTTTATATAAAATAGACCAGATTTTTAGGATAAGTAAAATACGAAATTAAGCGAAAAAACGGGCCGTATGTAAGGTGATGGGGGCAAAGTGCGCCATACTTTTTTCATAGTTGACTTTGGTGCAATATTACTTGTGCTTAAGTTCACGAGTGACACTAAATCATGGTACCATAAGGATCTGTGATGTTTTGCAACAACAACTAATGTCGTGTCATTAGAATCTGACGGCAAATTAATGAATTTTAGCATTAAATCTGAGAACAGTCTGACCCGGCGCACTTTGCCGACAAATCGGGGAAGTGCGCCTTGTATTAATAAAACGCAATAATAAAGCATCAGAATAAAAACAGCCCTATATTATTTTAAGAAAACAAGCAACAAAAAGCATGCCATTTTTTATTTTTTCATAGCCACATTCTAGAAGAATCTATGTATTTAAAACCAAATTTCGGCTAAATGCGCCATACAATCTTAAGTCAGAGGCTATGAACCTTTTTTCTAAATATTGATAATCGAGTGTCAAGTATATTTTTCTTTTATTTACGATGGGAATACCATGGTTTGGAACTACTTATTTGGTATCAGTATTATAAAGGGACTGAAATAAGAAGTTAGTCATTGAAATTAGTTATTAAGTGTAATATTTATTATAAATTCTTAACAAAACTAGGTAACGAAAAGAAAATCAATGAGAAACATCTTCTAAAATATATTAGTTGTAATTATTCAAAAACATTAATCAAGCAAGGCTTGTTACCCTTACAACTTAATAACTAAAGAGAAGGAGATCGACTTTCCAGAGGATGATGTAGTCCGAGTCGATGGAAATCCCCTAAGACCTATGACTTTGGTTTTTTGTGGATCACTGCCGTAACTGGTTTCATCCAAATTCTAAATTCTCTCAGGCTTGTCCTGAAGCCCTAAGTCGGCAATCACTCTGTCTAAAATATCATAAAATTCTTGAATGACAAATGGGTCTGCGGCATTCTTACGAGCAACCTCTACAGCCTGCGGTTTTTTATTTGATAACTTATAATGCTTTTTGACGCTTGAAAACCAATCTTTGAACCATCGTTGAAAGGTGTTTTTAGATCGTTCTGCTTGACATGTCCCTTAACAATAGCTAGAAACTCTGTACGAGTCAGGCCGAAGCCATTTTTTTTCAATTATATGCAAACATTTTGCCATCATTTTTTCTGTCTCATATTGAAATACTGGTGGTCTGCCTAGACTTAATGATTTTTGGCCCCTTCGACCTGTGACGTGGTCCATAATAGTTTTTCTTGGGATAGCAAAGGTTGATGCGGTTGCATACCCAGACATTCTATCCGATCGAACAGCTTCGACTGCTTCATTCAAAGCCTCTCTGGACCATGAGGGACCGTCAGTTTTTCTTTCATAGTGCCCCATCTTAAACAAAAATCATAAATAATAATGATTTAATAATTGTGACTTTTACTAGTCTATTGTAGACACATTTTAAAAAGTTTGTAACCTCTGGATTGCGGCGAAGTGCGCCATATAATAAGTCAGTATGGCGCGCTTCCCCAACTATATAAATTTGAGGTTTGAATATTTAACTTGCAAGAAATATATAAATTTTACTAGATAGGAGTGAAATAAAGTCAGAATCTAAAAGCAAAATATTTAAATTGTGCACTTACCTCACTCGAATATCGGTAAAAACTCGATTTCTTGAGATTTACGACGATGATCACGCCATAGTCATCTCTCCTCACCACTTTGAATATCAGTGAAAATAAAATGGCTCGTGTCTCAAACTCACATGACTAGAGCTATATTTGAGTTTCACCAAGAACTATGATTTAGTTTGTAGCATCGATATAAGTTGTCACTACTAGTATTAAATCGGTAGTTTTCGAGATATTTGTGGTAGGTGCACTTGCCCGGTAGGCGCACTTTGCCACCGTCACCTTATAACAAAAGAAAATCAAGCTAAGATGGGAACCTTCCCTCTTTAGTGGAATTTTAATTTGGTCACATGTTTCTAGTATGGATTTTCATTTTAAATATGAATATACTAATAATAACATAATTTCAAGAATCAGTATCAAATAAAACGAGTGAATGCTATCCTAAATAAACACTACCAAGAAATTGACTTAAATCAGTTCAAATAATGCACCACTAGATGGCGCTAACGGACTTATAGAACGCGCTATCGTTGTTATTTTAAAATAGCGGAAACTACACAGACTATTAGTATACGTTACTTCCGTCAGAATAAAATATATTTGAAAACCGGATGGCACAGAAACGTGACGCCATATTGCCGTAACGGACTTCCGTTGCATTGTCGTCCTTTACCTCCTAATCGCGCCTAAAGAAGTTTTAGTTTAAAAACTATATTAGCTATGTTGCATACGTATTATATGCTTAGTAAATATTACTTTATATTCAATTTCAGTATTTTTAAGATTATATGGAGCTCCAAGTAATTCATGGCGTCAGCTCGCAATCGGCGACGGTGTCGTACTTCAGTATCAGTGTAAGAAAAAAGTATCATATAAAATAAAGTTATATAGGTTTTTATTTGTATGTGCCTAACATATAAGTTTAATTAAATGTTTGAAGTGAAACTTCTTAAGCGCATGAGAGTAAAATTTTTACGGAACGTCACGAAGCGTTTTTGTCGAAGAAATGGGAGAGAGCGATTAAGACCGATTGAGAGAGAGAGTGAGAATGGTGAATTACCTTATAGAAATACTATTTTTAAAATTAAAATTTCGTTAAGAAAATTTATGAAAAATTCTTATTTTATATTTTATGCAAACGTGTCTCGCCAAAGCTGTCCAAGGGAATGTTTGTCAGCCTGCCATTCCACCACTGCACAGGGAGGATTCGCTGGCCCACACTGCGAACGAGAAGGACGACCTTTTGGGCTGTCTCTTCGCGTCCAACTATCGCCCAATAGCCATAACCTCCAGAACCAATTCGACTTAGGGTCCTTCAATGAAAGAGCGTACAAATTCTTAAAAGGCCGGCAACGCACTCGCGAGCCCTCTGGCATTGAGAGTGTCCATGGGCGGCGGTATCACTTAACATCAGGTGAGCCTGCCCGTTTGCCCCCTGTTCTATAAAATGTAAAATGGTAAGTAATTACAAAATATCGTGAAAGTTAGGACTTCTTTATTTTTGTATTCGGTGATTTTCTTGACTTTTTCCATAGTACAAACAAACATTTCATCATATACAGAAGCGATATGAGTAATACACAAATTATAAACATGACATCTAAGCATAAGTACTGATACATTGGAATGTCGATTATCGGCGAGGTGTATGTGAAGTTTGGATAGCGCGCAGCAAATTCTGTCCAATGTATTGCAGTATTAATGGCTGAGACAGGTCGGTCATGCCACATTTTAGATATATTTTCGACCTGAGATTTAAACCTGTAAAGAAATCAATCATTGTACTCTTGGAGAATTTATAGACAGTTAACTGATCAGGACACGGCTCAACTTGTGTATCACAGCTACTTTGACAGCGGTATGTCCTATGGTATTGGTATAACTCTTTGTTTTTAATTTATGTTATTATTATAAATTACTTAAAATGTCATGTGGAACATGGTTTAATGGTTGCAGCTCCTTACAAACGTCGTGTAAAAAAAAACATGGCGATTAAAAAGAGTGGCGGAGAGTTTATTGCCAGTTCTTCTCTTCCGTTCTATGCCCTTGATTTGAGAACTGGCACTAAATGTAAAATTAGAAGCATTAATATGTATTTCTTTACGGAATAAGTTTAAGGAATTAAATATTATGACACTATCTGGTCAATATATTTTTGAAGCCTCGTAGCAGGTACAAAAAATATAAACGATTTAAAAAAAATGCTGCCTTCCACCAGTATAATATTCAAAACAGAACCAACCAGGCTCCAGAAGATAAACTACTCCTTATATGGAAATTGTATTCGTTTTTACAACTCCCAAGCTAAATTAGAGAATTATCACTGAATAAATTCAAAACTCTCGTTAAACGTAAATTAATAAATTAAGCTTTTTATAAATTTGACGATTATTTAAATAATCCTTATCCTTGATATTGATTAGCTCCAGTTCAAATATTTATGCCTGAAAATTTTAATGACTAAAAACTTGGCGATTAAAAAGAGTGGCGGAGAGTTTCTTGCCAGTTCTTCTTGATCGCTCTACGCCCTTGACTTGCGAACTGGTAGTAAATGGAAGTTTAAAATCAATTTAACATCTTTTATATTGACGTCTATAAGTGTACGTGGTTACGTATGTGAATAAAGTTATTTTTAGTTTGAGCTATATTCCCTAAATATCAAATACTAACCTGGGATTTAATATAATTCTGAATTTTTCTAATAACAACTCCTTAGTTATAGCATTAAGATCAACTTGAACACCGATACCCTTTTCTTCGATAGCAGCTGCGTTTGAAAATTGATCTGCTGTGATTGGCATGCCGATGATGGGAACTCCATGTTGTACGGCTTCCGTAGTTCCTAACTGTCCACAGTGTGAAAAGAATGCATAAACATTGGGATGCGCTAGAAGAAAAAAATAAATTAGTTGTAAATCAAGCAGGGTTGGGGTAGTGATATAGGCTCTAAACGGCGACCACAGCCGCACGACGCGTTCCAAGATGAGTCTGTGTATCATTCGCAGCCAACTAGCTTAATTAGCCGTTCAATTAACAGCCTAGACTTTTAACTAAATGGCCCCGTTTAACTAGTGGCCTGAAAGATGTTCAGCCAGTTGATCAAACAGCTAGGCTGTTGACTGCTGATTTAAATTTAATTCAAAACTCGAAACGAAACTCCTCAAACTGTCAATATGGCGTCGGCAAACCACAACTTTGATGGTGTTTTCCGAAGTTTCATGAAAAACAACAAGTACAATGGAAGAGAATTTGACTCAAGCAATTTAATTTTAAAAGAAATGTTTTTTACGTCATATATTTCATCTTTTTTATTTCTGCCAAATAATGACTCTATCGTACGAATGGCCTAAGCATTAGCCAGCTAGCTTATTAAATGTAACAAACGCTACAGCTGAATATCTTTCAGGCCGCTAGTTAAACGGCACCGTTTAGTTAAAAGGCTAGGCTTTTAAATATACGGCTAAATTACGACTTCTATCGATAGATTTTTCTTTGTACAATTGTTCAAACAGTTGTTTGTATGGCGAAGATTAATAATGGAGTGATAAAATAATATAAGAATTGACTATGATTGATAATGTTGTGTATGTATAATTCTACATTTTAATTATGTAAGACAAATTGGCATGCTAATGTGTGGCAGAATATGCGCAATTTAGATTATACCACCATAATATTTTTGTACCAAATAAATTATTTTTGAGGATACCTTGTCATAGATTTTAAAATCGACGACTTGTATCCATATAACAATGTGCACACGTATATGAGAAAGATCTGTATCTACACTATGTGTTTTCCTTTCTAGATGAATTTTAATATCGGTAATAAAGTATTTATTATTAATTATGATATCACCAACTAAAGTAGTTAATGTATGTTATATGATTTACCTAATATGTCATTTTGTGGCATCCATTTAGAAACATAAATGAAATCAGGATTATCAGGTATCTCTTTTTCCCATTTCCATACAACCCTTTGAGGTAATTCTTTCAAAGCTCCTAATATTGCGTCAAAAGCTCTTCGTGGCATAGATGACCCATTCAGAATAGTTCCAAAGCTTATGTAAATAACTCCATTTTTTGACTCTTCTATAAACTTTTTAAGGTCCTATAATATAAAGATACGCATGCTTTTTATTTGTTTAATTGATAAAAATGATGACGTGGTGTTAATGATTAAATAGGCCTTGGAGAAGGTTTTGGAGCCTTTTTAAGATGATATTTAAAAGGCCGGAAACACACTCGCGAGCCCTTTGGCATTGAGAGTGTCCAGGGGTGGATATCACTTAACATCAGGTGAGCCTCCTGCCCGTTTGGCACCTGTTCTATAAAAAAATACTTACTGTTGGTAAACTTTTTGCTTTGGTTACATGAAAACCTCCAACTTCAATGACATTTGATGGTAGAATTTGTGTTCCACTAACAACAAAGTTTTGATATAGAAGCAAAAATTTTATCTTATGACTCAATTCTTCTATTGGAGGCACGTCATCGAAAAAATCTGCAATCACCCGGTCCTCACTCATGGAACAAACACGTTGCATAATTTGTATGTAATGGTAGGAAATTGATCTTACAATTCGATCCATGAAAGTAGGTTTCGATACGCCATTAAATATGTCATACAAAACATATGATGGGTTGTAGGGTACACCGTATCGATTGTAATGCCATGGCAACAACAGACCAGATGTCATGCCTACAACTGGTGCGTTTAGTTTGTATGCTATACTTAAAGGGCAATCAACATTAAACTGCTCCATCACTACCAGATCAAACGCTTGCTTAGATCTCAACAGGCTTTGAACCTCGTCATCTTCAAGGATCAACCGACACGTGTAAGGTCCCATCACTGGCTGGAGAATTGTCAACGATAGAAGCTTGTGAAAGGAGGAAACGATAATTGGATGTCGGAACTCAAAGTACTTATTATCTTTCCCTAAATCAATGTCGTGGTAATTCTTCAACGGTTGCTTTTGAGGAAAGAAAGATACGACTGTTACATTGTGGCCTCTGCTGGCTAGTTCTTGTAGATACACTTGGTAGACGTAAAAATGGCTTTTTCCAAGAAAAGGGAACACTCCGAGAATATTATAAGAATATACTTTGCAGAACAAAATGCACTTTAGTATTACAAGAGCTAATACTACGCTTGGTCTCATCGTGGTGTTTAGCTGGAATAACTTAGTTGTAACATATAAGTCGTGAAGATTCTTATCATTTTTATGTATGTACTTAAATGTTTATAGGCAGCCTTCAATTATTTAAAATAGTAACACAAAGTCAGCTAAAACATTTATTTAAGATTGAAGACAGCAAATCAATCATTCTTTTTCATGTTTAATTTGATATTTGATACACTAAACTTTAAACGATACGAAATTAGTTTAAAAATTATAGCCATAGTTAAAATTATACATAAAATAAGAAAAACATAGACATCTAATCTATAGTATTGGTGGAAGAGGACTTGAATTGCAGGGTTCTTGAACGAGAAGTTTTTATAACGCCCAGCGAATTCTGTCCAGAATATTGCACTGTCCATAGCAGATACCGGACGATCATGCCACATTTTCGATAGTAATTTTACTTTGTATCTGAACCTAAAAAACAACTTGAAATTAGTTTCAAGTTTTCCGCGATATGGGGAGATTTTGTATTCGTCAGGCTTTATAAATTATGCTAAGGATAACATACGGTAATGATTCACGTATCTAACAGGTAAAAGGATGATTTTACTTAATAAAAACATATATTCTTTAGTTTTTGAGTCGTATATTATTGTTAATAATTAAACTAAATTTAGATATCACTGAATTTTATTTTTCGGTTTCCTCCTTAATCGATAGGAAATGTAACGAATAATACATCGTATTATGGTTTTTAAAAGCAGAAAAATAAATAATAATAGCAATATAAACACGCCTAAAACGTCAAAGCAGTAATACTGATATAATGGGACGCTTAAAATGGGACTTCTAAATGTTGCGTTCGGATAACGAGCGACAAATTCCGTCCAAAATACAGAGGCGTTGAGAGACGAAACTGGCCTATCTCGGTACATCCTTGATAATGTCTTCACGTTGCTTCTGAAACTGAAGAGAAAAGAGTTATCAGCTTAGCAAATATTTTTCTACTTCCTTCAACAGTCAAAATGTTACTTAAAAACAATAACAGTGATTATTGTTATGAAGGTCCGTTCTAATTACAGTATATTTGTAACGCAACAACTATGTGGAACCACCAGAAAAGAGCGTACCAATTCTTAAAAGGCAACGCACTCGCGAGTTCTCTGGCATTGAGAGTGTCTATGGGTGGTGGCGGTATGCCCCCAGTTCTATAAAAAATCTGTTAAGCTACAATTTTTTATGAATTTTAGAATATGTAGAAAGAATAGGTGTTGTCTGAAAACACGTGCTTATTTATTTCAATATGCTATAATTAGGTATTAAGTGACAGTTTTGTATGTCGTTCATTTCGTAATAGTTATGAAATAATAACATACAGAAATAAATAAATCATACGAACACTATTAAAATTAAGCATTAATAAAATAATAATTTACGACGAACACCGATTCAATAAAAATAATTCTCAGAATAAGTGATACACATTCGTTAATTGTTGTTATAGAATTTCCCATTTTGAAATTATTAGATTCTGATTGAACCTATCAATGGTTGTCTATACTAATACCACATAGAGGAAAGATTTGTATGTAAGCATATTTGTAACGAATTGCCTCAAAAAGTACTGGACCGATTTTTAAAATTCTTTCAACATTTGAATGCTACATTATCACTGACTAATATAGACTTTTAATTGCAAGTAAAAAATAGGGATATATATTCTTAACATATAGAAGCTTATCATTTTACAAAATCCAAATACACCACTAAAAGCAATACTCGTCGAGCGAGTTTGCTTATCTTGCCGAGGCCGCGCACAAATTACTTTTAAGATATCTATTGAGTATGAGGGTGTGCAATTATTTAATCAATTACCCTCTAAAATTCTTAAAATTAGCGTGTTTTATCAATTCAAAAGGGCATTAAAGACACATATTAGAATGAGCCTAGTAGACTAAAATTGGGATAGCTGATGGCGACCCGTACCTCGTTCGTATATTATATTAAGTTTATCATTTAAATTAAAATACATTTTTTGTACTGAAAAATATTCTTTAAACATTTAAACCTCAGTGAAAAGTGTTCGTTGGTCTCATTTATTCTGTTATCATTTTGTTTTCATCAAGTACACAAAGGGAGCCAGCGATACACTATTGCTAAATACATTATTATTTAGGTATGTCCGCATTTACTGTATGTTTTTTGCCAAAATGTTTAAAAAATAAAAGTCCACCCGTGCGAAGCCGGAACGGGCCGCTAGTACCTAATAAAAGAAATTTTTCGAAACTGGTTGGGTCCAAATAAGCAGAAATGTCGAATTCGATTTAGTCTAATTTGCTTACAATTCGTGTGTAGTCACTTACTCGGGATCCAGTATAGTTTTAAACTTCTTCATAAGATTCTCTTTGGTCAACTCATTAAGGGCAGTCTGTACCCCGAGTCCGCTTTCCTCAACGGCTGCAGCATTGGAGATCTGGTCTCCGAACATGGGTATTCCTAATACCGGTACTCCATAGTGAATTGCTTCAGTTATACCAACTTGTCCACAGTGGGAAAAGAATGCTACCACGTTTGGGTGAGCTGGAATTTAATTGATAAAATATTGAAGATTAGTTTGTACCAAGTATTACACACACGTGTGTTAGCGTAACAAGCTTATATATAATATTATAAGCATAATATCATAGACCATCATAGAATATCATAGATAGAATATACAGAACTTTTAGATAAAAATATAATAAAATTGAAAATAATCTGAAGATACCAGGCCATGTTTGCAGAACAGGAAAAAAGAACTGGCCAGAAACTCTCCGCCACTCTTTTTAATCGCCAAGTTTGAGTTTGTTTGTATGACCCAAAACTGGAGAAAATCAATCCCAAGTATTAGGATCATTTAAATAATTGTCAATTTTATAAAAGATTTATTGATTTATTTACGTTTAACGAGAGTTTTGAATTTATTCAGTGATAATTCTCTTATTTCGCTTGGGAGTTTGTTGTAAAACGATACAATTTCAATTTAAGGTATGGTTTATCTTCTGGAGCCTGGTTGGTCGCACGCTTAGATTAGTTCTGTTTCGAGTATTATACTGGTGAAAGTCAGCATTTGTTTTAAAATCGTTTATATTTTTTTGTACAAGGCTTCAAGAATATATTGACTATAGTGTCATAATATTTTATTCCTTAAACTTGTTCCGTTTACTTACCGTTTTACTAAACCTTACCTAATATATCATTTTGAGGCAACCATTTAGACGAATATATCTTATCCATTTCAAACGGTAAATTATCAGTATCCCATTTCCATATAACTCTTTGTGGTAGCTGTTCTAACACGTCCAAAATAGCTTGTAAATTATATTTGGATAAGGAAGTAGCCTTTATCATTGACCCGAAACTTACATAAATCACACCTTGTTTGGATTCTTCTATGAATTGTTTTAAGTCCTAAAATTATGAGAAAAATATGGATATTGTAACACTACGTAAAAGTGTGCTGTATCGAATTTGAAATTTTTGCTTATTTTGACCGGACCTAACAAGTTAGATAGTTTTTCAGTTTCAAAAAGTTTCCTTTTTCTTTTATTATGTACAATCATTGATATGTTCAATCAGAATCGAATACTTCCAAAACGGAAATTTTATAACAACACTTAACAAAAAGCAATTCAATGTAATCGTATATTTATGCATGTAAAAAACATTTTTTGATGTCGGCTAAATATGTACTATATCAAATCAAAATCATTTATTCATATAGGTAACACAATGTACACTTATGAACGTCGAAATAGAAATACATAATAAATGCTTCTAATTTTACATTTACTGCCAGTTCTCAAATCAGGGGCGTAGAACGAAAGAGAAGAACTGGCAATAAACTCTCTGCCATTCTTTTTAACCGCCAATTTTTTTGTGTTACACAATGTTTGTAAGGAGCTGCAACCATTACACCATGTTCCACATGACATCTTAAGTAATTAATAGTAATAAAATAAATTAAAAACAAAGATTTGTCTATCAGCAGGCGGCATGGTGAAATAGAAGCACACGCTTGCATTATCGTAGTAACAACACGCAAATACATAGTCGAAATAACTAACATCACCGCATACACGAATTCAAGTCCGATCACCACAAGTAGCATCCATTCACGAGTATATATATTACTGGTTACTTACTTTTGGTAAAGTCTTTGGTTCGAGTACATGATGACCAGCTACTTCTATAACGTTTGAAGGTAGAAGCAGTACACTATTCAAAACAAAATGCTGGTATAGAAGAAGGAATTTTATGTTCTTTTCTAACTCCTTTATTGGTGGAATATTAGGGAAATACTGTCTTAAATAGTATTCATCAAGGAACTGACTCGCAAAGTCTACCATATAGTTGATGTAAATACCGATTAACGTTCTTTCCACTCTCTCGTATAACGTTGCCCTTGTTCTGCCGCCCAGCACCTGATTTCTAGTATAAGAGGGGTTATCTGGTACTCCGTAGCGTTTATAATGCTGTGGCATTAAGGAATTTGCTGTTATTCCCACTACTGGAGCACCAAGTTCGTAAGCCAGTCCCAAACCACAATCACTGTTGAATTGTTCGACGATAACAACATCGAATTTCGCTCGATTTTTCCAAAGATCTTGAACGCCTTGATTGTCTAGTAGTGTCTTGCAGGATGCCCCTCCTGTATACACTAACACGACTCCAGCCACGAACACCGTTAAATATGATGGACTAGTGACTGGAACCCAGTTTTGAAACTCCTTCTTTTCAGACAGTATAATTTCGTTTAAGTTTTTTAAAGGCGTTTCTTGTGGATAATGAGATATAAGGGTAACGTTGTTACCTCTTCGGGCCAGTTCTTTAAAAAAGGGCAGGAATGCACCATGATGGCTTCTCCCTGGATATGGTAGAACAGCTAATATATTGTATGCTTGTATGCGATTTAAGTATATTAATGCAGTAATGATACAAAGTCGTAAGTAAGCCGGCATTTTGCCGACGTTAGAATTGCAACTAATTAAATATAGTTGAAACATTGACGCCGTGACGACGATTGATTATTATTACATTTTTATCTATTCCTTCGTAATGTTACTCGTGGTTTATTTCCTCCTTTCAATGAATATTTGATAATAAAAATACCATTATTCTTAAAATGTATATTAAACTATGATAAATTAACAACACCAGTCTAGTTGACAGTCGATTAAGTACCTTATGGTAAGAAATAGTATTTGAGTGAACGAAAAAAAAATACTAACAAGAATCTTATTCAAATTTTACACTTTTTGAGCCCTTTGCTTCACTTTCGTCAATGTGTGTAGTGACATCACTCCGGCAACAACAACAACATACACTCAAAAGTTTCATCACAACAAAGGCAAGTATGTAAAGAACAGCCCCAACGAATGCTAGAACATCTAACTGAATTTGTTGGTACCAAGGTACCGTGGTAGATGACGCCACTAAGTTAGGTGTTCCCTGGTATCTGGCTACGTATTCTATCCAATAGATGGCAGTTTCAAGGGGTGACATGGGACGATCGCGCCACATCCGTGATACATTCTTTGCCCGCTCTTGTGTCCTGAAACGAGATATGTAATTATAAGTATTTCGTATAAATAATAAAAATTTGACTACAGAATCGCTTAAATCTAATATATAAAATTCTCGTATCTCAATGTTCGTTCCCATACTCCTCCGCAGCGGCTCGACCGATTCTTATAAATTTTTATGCATATTCAGTAAGTCTGAGAATCGGCTACTATCATCTTTCAAACCCCTAAGTGATACAGCACGTGTACAGCGTGCCCTTAGAATCGGATATAAGAATCGGTCCCATAAGAATCGGTCGAGCCGTTTCGGAGTAGTATGGGAACGAACATTGTGACACGAGAATTTTATATATTAGATTTAGCCATAGTATACGTAGGCAAGCCAATAACTAAACATCATAGATTAAATACCTCATATCTAATACATCATTTATCGCGTCCAACAGATAGTCCTTCTTCAAGTTTTCGTAAGGAACGATTGTGGCCATTCCAGCATCAACCAAAGCAGCTGCGTTGCCATACTGGTCTCCAAACAACGGTATTGCAATGACTGGTACACCGGCATCCAAGGCTTCAATCGTGCTTAGAGTACCAGCATGTGAGATGAAAGCTTTTACGTTGATATGTTCTGGAAATAATAAAAATTAAGTATTTTAATCTGAGTGGAGCTATGGTTTCCCATCGATACTACGTTCGAATCCCTGGTGTGTAGCAGATTGTGTTCAATTGTATGTGCTCAATTTACATATTTCCAAGAAAAACATAGTGAAATCTAAATTTGTAATTATAATAATAATAATTACTTGTAATAATGTGATATTTTATTATTACAAATAATATAATCATTGACTACAATGATATGACACATAATGTATATACGTTTTATGTAAAATTCTTTTTAAGACAAATTTGCACGCCATTATGTGTGGAAGAATATGCGATCTTCCTTTTTCCCTCCCTCTAAGTCTCGGAAATCTAAAGTTTTAGATTTGTATAAATACGAACAAGAGTTAAAAATTAGTTTGCCAAAGAAGTTTCACTTCTGACATGTGTACTTTGTACTCACGCACTTATTTGAAGTTATACTTCTTTAGGCGCGTTATGTAAAATTTATGAGAGTGAAATTTTACGATGCGCGCGCACCGTTACACAAAATTAACAGAATGAAGTTGCCCACGGAAGATGCTACGGCATTGGACATAATTTAAAAACAACATTCGAATAATAATAGAGTTTATGTTACACTTAATGTAAGAGAATAATAATAAATATTTATTTATTTAATTTTTCAAATGTAAACTGAACTTTATTGACTATAATGACTCCTTTTCCAGTCTTTGATTATTTAATTTTAATTAATTATTTGCATGCAATCAAAAACTATTTTTAATAATGCCAAAGAAGTATAACTTCTTACGCGCGTACATAAGTACACGCACCCTTTTTTTTATTATTGTCCCTTTCACATTTTATTATGTTTACATATGTTTTAATTGTTTTGCTTTGTTGTCTTAGTTTTTATTCACAGTTTCATTTCGTCTTAATAACTACATGTATTATGTAGTTTTGCAATTCTTGCGCTGACCTTATCTAATTTTTTTTATAACTTGGTAGGTTGGAAGAGATCGCTCGAAAGCGATAAGGCCGGTTGCCCTCCTATTTATTTAATAATTTTATTCGTACTATATTTCTGTATACTTGCAACGAAGTGTTGATAAATAAATAAAAATATATTTTTCATATTAGTAATCTTTTAAATAGAACCATCAATTTTACAACGCCTTTGTTGTATTTAAATGAATAGAAAAAATATAAAGTCCATCGCTAAATGAATATTTATAGTATATATGTTACAGTTAACACTAGTTTTTAGTTAAAACTCGTTTTCCCTAGTTAAAAATAGTTTTTACTAAATGCCTTTGTCAAAACTAGAAATAACAAGTGAAAACTAGAATTTACCACTGATACAATTAATTTTCTGATAAAACTAGTTGTCACTCCGAGCTTTAGTTACAACTAGCACTAGAGAAACTAATTTGAATTTTGGGATTGAAAACAAGATAAAGTTTTAATAATATTTATTAAAAAGATCTAGGGTATAGAAACATTACTATGTATATGGAATGCTCGACAAATTATGTTGCAGGTATGTACCTACCTATGTGTTGCTTAATTGATTTATCATATAATTATATTGCCTTTAGGTAAAAGCTAACTATTTAAATATTGCTTTTCAGGTCAGAATTCGACAAGTGCAAAGAAAAATTTTTGCATGAAGAAGACGTTCCGAATACAAATTTACCTTTGAGAACTGTTGCTAAGGAAGCATCCATAGGAACAGGCCAGGGATTTATGCGCTGCGTATGTAAGAAAGGATGTATGTCAAAAAGGTGTCTCTGCAAGAAAAATGGCTACCTTTGTAATTCAAAATGCCACGATAGTTTGTCTTGCAATAACAAGTAGATCGTCATCTTTTTTAATTTTAAGGTTCTTTGATTATTTTTTTATTGTAGGTATGTTTACCAATATCCCTTAAAAATATTATTATAATGTTCCTTTTTTAAATTTTATGGTTGTATTCTGTTGATTTGTTTGATTATTTTATTTACTTTTAATTAATGTTGTCACCTTGGCAACTACTTTATGCTGATATTCCCTAAAATGTTCCTTTAGTGTAAGTTTTTTTTAGTAGGTACGGTACTATGTTTCTATACCCTAGATCTTTTTAATAAATATTTTTAAAACTTTATCTTGTTTTCAATCCCAAAATTCAAATTAGTTTCTCTAGTGCTAGTTGTAACTAAAGCTCGGAGTGATAACTAGTTTTATCAGAAAATGAATTATATCAGTGGTAAATTCTAGTTTTCACTTGTTATTTCTAGTTTTGACAAAGGCATTTAGTAAAAACTATTTTTAACTAGGGAAAACGAGTTTTAACTAAAAACTAGTGTTAACTGTAATATATATATGGGTAAGGTGATCAGGCAGGTATCAGGTACAGAATATCTGACACGCTGTCGATTTTTTGGGTAAATGTATGTCGAGTGTTAAAGTGAATACAGAAAGTCACTTACACATAGCCACACACACACACACGGTAATCAGCTGGGGTTCAAACCTTGGACCTCATAACCTATTGTCCCAAGTAATAAAACGGATAGTTTTGCGGTTTTTACTATATATTCTAAATCTGTATCAAGAAAAAGTTATCGGCATTTAATTTTTTTATTAATTTAAACAGCCTATTCTAACCCTTACCTATACGTTAAAATACTATTATAAAATTACTAAATGACTTTACTATACAAGGGTACCCGTAAAAACGGGTATTTGAAAATAAATCTTGAACCAGACTTTGTAATATTCATAGTAATATGAAATTGAATATCAGCGGTACTCACTTAAGATATCATATTGCGGCAGCCATCTCATAGTCATAACGTTTCTTGGCAGATTCTCCACGATGCCTCCATCCCATTTCCACAACACTCTAAGAGGCAATTTACCAAATGTTGATAGCAGTTCATTTAATTTATCACTCGGTAGTGTTGAGTCCTTTATTGTTGAACCTAAGTTCATGTAAATTACACCATGTTCGGCTTCGGTTAAGAACCGTTCAATATCCTGAAATGTGTATTAGTAATTATTAGCTGTGTAACACATTTATATCCAACACACAAATATACAGTATTTACAATATTATTACACAGTAATAATAATTAAAAGTTGATAAATAAATAAAGTTTATTTAAAAAAATATTTCTACATAATTAAAGAAATGGGCGTTTTTTATTTTAGCTTGCAACTTATATTGATGTTTACTATTTAATTACGTCCATTGGTTGGAGTTCAGTAGACATGTGAGTTACAAAAGCTTATGATAGCTAAAGTATGATACAAATATTCTTGCAGAAACATTGTCTAAATATCGTTCAAATACAGCATCAAGAGTTATATAAAAAAGATAAACAAATTTAAAAAGTTTCGGCCGTATGGCAGTGTATATTTAACGCTCCCAGGTTTTCGTCACTGTATTGCGATACTTATTCGTTGAGTTAGGAAAGCACCAGCCTTGCGAATCTTTAACTCACTTTTCGAACTCCACCGCCACCGCCGCTGTGAAAACCGCTGTGTGAGTTCGAAAAGTGAGTTACAGAATCGCAAGGCAGCTCTTGGGACACTGGTACTATCTACCAGGCGCAAACTTAAATCTATAATTACCGCCTCTGCACTTGAACCCCACGACCCAAGTCTCGAGAAAGAATGAAAATGTGAATTCTATTAAATTTTTTCATGGCAACATGCTATAATAAATATAAATGAGTAGTTCCAGCATTTTTTATTTATAAACTACGGTAACATTGTTTTATTAAAATATTAATACTGTGACAAGTGTGGTACGGACTCACCCCAAAATGAAAATATTACGGTGCCCTTCAATGTCAAACGGGTCTTAATTCCCATTATATATACTTATTGTATAATACTTAATTAATAAGGAATTATATCTCGATATTCTTTGTATTTTGTAATTTAAGCGTGAAGAAACAAAACAAACGTTTGTTTACGTTATAATTATTGACAATTCCTAGCGTAGATAACAGTATAAACTAATATTAATTTCATCGAGTAACGGTAGGTAATTACTCACCGTGGGAATAATCTTGGGAGGCCTGATGTGTATTCCTCCAATATCAATTACGTTGTCTGACCGAGCCACCCCGCCGAAAACGGATTGGTGTGTATTTACAAACACTAGGCTTGCGTTAGAAGCGATGCTCTCCAATGTAGGAAGATTGTCTCCCAAATATTTGTACAAAAAAACGTGATCCGTCACTTGCGATCCAATATAGTATACCCATTGGGTAATATAATACAAAATAAAACTCTTCAAACGCTCGAAAAACCAGGGCTGCCTTCCGTACTGCAACAGCGACTGAGGCACATGAGCTGAATTGAAATTGATCCCAAGTCTATTGAAATGCCAGGGATGAATTGGTTGTGGATTGAAAGCGATGTACGGTGCACTCAAATTTGATGCCAGAGCGAGAGCGCAATCGCTGTTATACGATTCAACAACTATAACATCGAATCGAGGTCGAGTTCTTATCAATTCATTCACCTCACTATTGTCCATGAGTATTTTACAGTCGTCATTACCGGCTTTAGTCGACACCAGCGTCTCAAATGGAAGCCGCGACACTTCATTCACTATCACTGACTCAAAAGAGAAACTGCGCACAACTTTCTGATTAGTACTGAGCGACACATGTTGGTAAATGTTCGATGTATCCAGTTGAAAATGGCTTATGATAGTCACATTATGATTCCGGTTCGTTAACTCACTAAACAGTCCTTTGTATGTGAGGTAGTTGTTGCGGTCTGCTGATGGGAATACGCCGAGTATTCTATAACCGTGTACGACAAACACTTGGGCGATTAAAAGTAACAGGAACGAATATTTCGACATATTAAACGTTCGTTTTGCTTCGCGGCGCTGATGTTACTAGGTAAATGTGAAAGGTATGTCACTGCGTATCCAATAATAGGACGGTATGAAGTAATCGAATGACGGTGTTGGTGTCGTAATATTCAAAAATATTCGATGACCGCGCGTCATTGAACGTGACCTCGTTAGGAACGCGTGCTGCTAAACCAGTCGAGAAATGCCGACTGAATGTAGGTTTTATGGAAAAGAAAGTTACGCGTTGTTTATTTTGATCATCAGAGTAGTGGGGAATTCACGTTACTCCTTTACATATTTAAAATTTTCCATGAATAGTTTTTAAAATTAAAAAAGAAGCGTGTATAGAATCGCGTTCGACATTATAGTTGATGCTAAAATTAAACAATAGGTTTAAAGTCCGCTACTCGTTTACCTTGCATATTTTACACGGTCCGTAATTTTCTTGATTATTTTAGTCGAAACTTCAATTTCCTATGACGTAGTTAGGTAAAATGTGCTTCTAACATAATCGAAGCTTTTTTTGGTATCAGCTCATCATTATTAAACATAATTTGGTTTGTAATTTGTTTTTTTTTGAACCAACCTCATTCTCTATTAAGATGTAAAAAAATATATTTTGAAGGTATTTAAGTATTGTTGACAAAGACGTTATTGTATTTGATAATATAGACGGTCATTCATTTAATTTTTGGTTTGTCAATCAAGAATCTAATAAGGTGGAAAATATAAAATGCTTCGCTTGTAAATAGAAGGTCACTTAAAACCTCGCTTGATAGTATTATCTCCATATGTAATGTGCAGTCGAATGACAGATTATACACAACAAAACACAAAATTTGAGGTTTCGAGAAAAAAAAAATTGATAAAAGCAATATACACAAGAACATCAGTTAATAAATAATAATAGCCTTTATTGCTGTAAAATACTTGTAGATACTGTAGATAAAAATGTAAGTACTAGGGGTTAGGGTTAGGGTTAGGGTAGTAGGACTCCTTTCTCCGCAATTAGACTCGTAAATGGTCCGTTGTGCGTACGAGTCCTGGCTAATTTAGCCAGCCTAGCTCCTTCCAGAAGCACAGAAGTCTCCTGGGCACTTCACAGGCTTCCCGGAGCGACCTCACCGTTCCGAGGATTTTTTCACGTTGATTAGCCACAGCCACGCATTCCAGGACTACGTGGGTGACTGTTTCCTCTGCGCTGAAACAGCCTCTGCACAGGGGGTGTCTGTCGCGCCTAGGACAAAAAGATGTTTATTTAGGAGGCAATGACCCGTTATTGTCCCTATCATTGTTTTAAGGTTGGTTCTATTTAAGCTTAGTAGTCGCTTTGTCAGTTGCGGGTTTACTGCTGGCAGAGCCACTTTGGACTGTCTGCAGGCCGCACCATGCGACCATCGTTGTTGCTGGAGTTCAGCGGATCTCTGGCGAATCCAGGTTCGCACCAGCAAGAAGGGCAAAGGGAGGAGCGGATACGGGCCAGCAGGCATCATTCCGGAGCCTCTTCTCGCAAGCTCGTCTGCAGCATCATTGCCGAGAGATCCACTGTGTCCCTTTATCCACTGCAAGGTAACCCTATTGGTTCGGGTTATGACCTCCAGTGCTTCATGACACTCCAGTATTAGTTTGCTGTTGGTTTTTTTGTTTCCGAGCGCCATCAGCACGGATGAACTGTCGGATACGAATTTAATGCAAAAGTCATTAATCCCTAGCCGTTGCACGGCTCTGGCTGCTTCGGTTAAGGCGACACATTCACATTGAAATATCGTGCTCTGTGTGCCCAAAGGTAGGTGTATATTAATGTTGAGATCAAGAGAGAATATGCCAGCGCCTGAGCCAGACCCTGTTTTGGATCCATCTGTATATATACGTAGCTCATTCACGGTCGACCGATCATGTTCCTCTTCTCTCAGTTGTATGTGATATTTCCTGTTAAATATTAATTGGTTAGTGATTCTATCACAGGGCGCAGCAATAAGAGGTTGATACTCTATTGCCCTGTTGAGAATCGCTGTGTGTGCACTATAGTGATTTTTTCCCCATAGATCCAGTACCATAAGCCTGATAGCAGCCAGGGCTGCCTCCTGCTGTATGTGTAGGTCCAGGGGTAAGATCTGCAGGGCCATCTCCATTGCTGCAGTTGGTGTTGTTTTCATGCAACCGCTAGCAGCGGACAAAGCAAGCCTTTGGAAGCGTCCAAGTTTGGGAATTGCCGTTTGGAGTTCTGTTCTGGGCCACCAAACAAGGGCTCCGTAGGCTAGCATTGGCCTGATTATGGCAGTGTATATCCATAATGTTATCTTAGGCGATAAGCCCCATTTCACGCCTAGCATCTTTTTGCATTGATAAAAGGCGATCGTTGCTTTGTTTAGTTTGTGTTCTAGATGTTTGTTCCATAAATGTAAGTACTATAAACACTAATAATTAATCGGCAAGCTGGTTAATTTCTGTTTTACAGCTTGTCCTTGGACAAAGGCCTCCTCTTAAAGCTTCCACTCATCTCGGTATCTATTTTTACGTAGACATGGAGCCTGTTTTACTTATATAATCTTCCCATTTTTTTATTTGTCTTCCTCGTTTTCTTTTGTCATAGCGAGGAAGCTCAGTTTTTCGTCAATTTATCTTTGTCTTCTCTCATAATGTGTCCTGTCCATTTCCATTTCAATCTTGTACTGGATAACAGCTTTTTTAAACTTTGTCATGTCTTTAATTTCTTTTAGTTTTTTACTCTATTCAATTTCAGACCCAGAACACACATACTATATTAAAGAACCAAAATTAAGCATCAAATTGTGTATCCCTTTGCTTTCTTGAAGTCGATCAAAACGACAGTAACATAGTAAATGCAATGTGCATTGTATGTGTTACAATGCTCAAAGTAGGTCAACCGAACATCATTAATTGATATCTTGTGACCCATTTATAAGATACTAGTTAATGCCCGCGACTGAGACTTACTTTGTGAAGTTTTTTTAAATGTAGCCGGAGGCTCACCTGATGTTAACTGCCGCCGTCCATGGACACTCACATTGCTAGAAGACTCGCAATGATGTCGACCTTTCAATAATTGGTACGCTCTTTTTTTGAAGGACCCTAAATCGAATTGTTTCCGGAAATACTTCAGTGGGCAGCTGGTTCCACATATAAGTGGTGCGCGGCAAAAAGTGCCTTAAGAAACGCTCAGTTGTGGAATGACGGACTCGAGGTGATACGGATGGTATTTCGTAATCTGCCTTGACGTCCGATAATGAAACTCGTCCGACCTTCCTTTTAGTATAAACTAAAGCCCAAAACCCTAGCCCTAGTTTTTGAGAATATTTCTCTCTCTTCAGTCGGCAGCTCATATCTGGGCGTCGTGATCAGTAAGGATAACAGTGTATAATTTTGAGGACGATGAGTCTTTCACTTGATCGGTTCATCTGGTTGGTGAACGACCATGTCATCTTTTGCCTCCTGTGTTACCAACCACGATCAGTTTCTCCAAGTTCTCATCGGCTCTGCGCACTGTATGGTCGAAATATGATATAATTCGTTTTCGGCATATGGTTGACAGGAGAGCCCGTATGCGCTTCAGCCCTGCGATTCTGTAACTCACTTAATAACAATAAACTACAAGCTCCCACCTTTTCAGAATGCCAAATCATAAAATGACTGCTTCACGACTGATTTGAGAGCGACCGCCGATGCGAAAACCGCTGTGTGAATTCGAAAAGTGAGTTACAGAATCGCAGGCCAGTAAATAATATTTATAGAGGAGAGTTATTCAGGCATAGAATTTTGAGTTAAGATGGGAGAAAAGTGTCTTCTAGATAGATACTGCGAAAATACATTCCTTTTTAAGCTAATATATATTTTGAGAATAAATCATTCAATTACGCGATGTTTAATGTTGATTATTATACCTTACTACTAAATACAAAACAGGAACACAATTTAGAAGGCAGATTAAGAAACAGCAGGTGGTGCATGGCAGAGAGTGGCACAGTGTAGACAGGAATGGCGGGATTTGGAGGAGGCCTTTGCCAAAAAAGGGTACACAGATATCTAAAAATTTGTTAAGTATAAACGAATCTGAGGCTTATATTTATTTTTTTCCTTAATATCCTAAGTAGGTGATCATCCACGATATTTCTCTTTAGATTCACTCATTATATACATACCATACTTTATACTAAAACTATATTTTTTTCGGCTAGGAAAGCTGTAGAGCAATAAACCTATTTCTGCATTACTAAATAAAAAGTAAATTTGAGGTACCTAACTACCTAGACACTGATGTTAGGGGGATAACACTTCCAAACGCGCAAAATGAAAAAGACATCAGCACCTAGCCCACTCTATTATCTTCGAATTTGTACGGCATTAGTTTCAAGTTCGGAACCCAAATAAAAATGTAATTACAAGGAACTTCGAGGTACTTAAATATAGATTTACCCTTTGTAGGGAGATTTGAGGTGTGAGATCCATCATACCGCGATTGTGGAGATCTCAATTATTCCCTCTCAGATAACATCATTCATTTTTCATGTTTGACGCCTGAAGAAATGTAAGCGTATATTGTGATTCAATTTGAATTATTTCTTTAGAATTTCTCGGTTTTTGTGTTTGTTTGTATGAATTTTTAAGGGTTTTTAAAAAATATAGTGAATAAATGGTTCAAGAAAGTAGCTATGACCCCGACGATCATAATTTCGTGTTTTAATTAAGGTATAAGTTTTATATGGTATAACTGCAATTTTATTTAAGGTGTAAAAACATTGTTTCTTCTCTCTGTTTGTTATAATGTTTTTCTTTCGTTTTTGTTTTAATTGATTTTATTTAAAGTCTTAAGTTTATAAGGAATTTAAAATTTGTAACCTCTTAGGGCCGGTTTTTTGATCCGTAGTTAACTCAACTATTGGTAAAAAATCGTTACTATTAGTTAAATATCAGCAAAATGCGTTTTTTGATCCGTGGTAAGAGCATCCAATGGTAAAATATCTAACCATTAGTCAAAAAAGTTAACT